TTTTTTAGGATTAGTGTCTTCTGTCTTGTTTTGTTCTGTTCTGTGTTGAGTTTCTCTTCTCTCTGCTGTAGATATCTTGAAATATGATTATGGAGAAAACACACACTATCTCTTTCTTCTCTGTTTCTGTTTTCATCTGTTAATAATTTGTTCTTATCTGAATCAAACGTACTAACCAGCTGAGGTCCCTCTGTTCATGGATGACAGTTTGGTTTATTGCAATATCACCTCTGTTTTTTACACCCACAACAATGAATTGATCACCCATGTATGATACATATTCGACACGTGCATACCAATTTGAGAATCACTCAAGATATAATGACTTTTATTATTGTAAATATATTAAATTCATTATTCCAATTCTTCGACTTTTTGCAATTGCACTAATTAAATTACTTCAGTGGTTTAAGATATAGTTGTTATTTTAGAGATTATAGATTAAATAATTGATAATATTTAAAATAAATATTATCGCTTACAAACACACTAGATTAATAATTTCTTCTTTTACAATTATCTGCATATTACATATGTAATCGCGTGTTATCCTTTTAATACAAGACAAAACTTGGTTAAAAGGTAAACATATATCTATGTATCCTATCACATGTATGATGTTTCCATGTCTCACAATTTGATCGATTTGTGAGGTTGATGATGTTGACAGATTCAAAAATATTTTTGAGAGTCGGTACATATATGTTAATCACATAAAAATTTTAAACGGAGTGAATACAAATAAAATTTCATGATAGGTATCGTTAGTAAAATAAGTAATTAATCAAAGAAAACTCAAATTTCTGGATGGGCATAAAAATTTTCAGGATGAGCTCCATTAGTAAAATAGGTAACTAATCGAAGAAAATTTGGATTTCAGGCGCCCACTCTCACCAAACTGTGGCTCCGCCACTGATTGATGATCATCTTACTCAAATTTAAATTTTGATTCAATCTGATTTTATAAATTTAATTTTTATTCAAAATTCAATTTTAGAATTGAAGCAAAAAAATGTTTGTCTTCATCCATCCCATAAATAATAATTTAGTTATTACTTTTTATTTAAAGATAATCATTATAATCCCTCTTTTCGTATATTTTTTCCTATTATGTCTTTATTTTATCTAAGAAAAAAATGATATATATGTCGGGCGAAACTTTCTTAAACCCAAATTAGATTGGGTCATGGGTAGAGTGGTTAAATTTGAATTAGGTTCGGGTGACCAAAATCTAACCGAACACGACCCATGTTCATCCCTAGGTGTGAATAATGTAAATATCAAAGTTTTAAACTGAAAAATATAATTAAGGACGAGCATGGAATGGAACGAGTCAAATTTTTTTATTGATTTGATCTCGATTAAAAAATTGAAGGCTTCTACATGATCTTAATCCTTTTTGACGTTTGGTGATCCACCATTTCGAACTCATCTTGAATTTTGAGATAAAATTCATCAATGACTCGATTTAATCCAAATATTTATTTTTTATTCAACAAGATACGAAGATAGCTTAAATATAAAGAGAAAAACATTATAGTAATTATTTAGATCGAGTCGGACAACTTTTTACCTTAAATGTGGCTCAATTTCGATTCGTTCTAAACTCGAACTAAAAAGATCAATTTTATAATATCGAATCAAGTAAAAACCAGAGATATTTTGATCATCCCTATATATACATCATTGCTTTGAAGAAGGTAAAAAGTTAAAACACGGATGAAACACAACTGTAAAATAATGATATAAAAGGCAAAACGGATGCACCAAACATAACCACCGGGTAAGAAGAAGAAGAAGAATCCCGTGGACGACATTATTTGTTCAAAGACATCTCTTAACCATTTGGTATTAAACGTTTACGTTTCTTATTTTTCCGATACTCGAACCCGAAATCTCAAGAAATAACAAAAAATTTCTTTACCACTAAGATCGTTTGGTTTGTACGAAATTAAACTTTTTTTATTGACATCATCGAATTTTTAAAATCCTTATACTTTAATCGTGTCGTTAGTAACATCCAATGTGACATGCTCATAAGTTAACGAGGATTGAGCGGACATTATTTTTTTTAATAAATTAACACACTCTAATAAGATTATAACACATATTGTCTATCTTATTAGTGACAATAAAAGAAACATATGAATTGTAAGAGAAGAAAATTGAACCTAAATCCCTAGAGAAGAAATACATATAATATCTAATCATTACCACTTTAACGTTAAAGATAATGATCAAAATGAATATAATGATTAGGTATTAGGTCTTTCTTTCTCATATATCCAAGTTTGTTTTCCACCACTTATTATTTTTCTTCTTCTTCTCCCCCCACTCCCATAAAATTCGATAGTTCTACTATACGACAACCTTAATATATGATTAAGGAAAAGCCCTAATAGAAATGTTAATATTTTTTAACATTTTCGGTAAACTCTGCCTAAAACATTATTTTTTTTACAAGAAATGTTAATTTCGTTAACTAATTTCCGGTAGAAAAAATAATATTTTAGGTAGCATTTTATCGAAAATACTAAATATTTTAGGTAGCGTCCAATATTAATATTTTCAGTAAAAAAATAATGTTTTAGATAGCGCTTTACCAGAAATGTTAAAAAAATATTAATATTTCCGGTAACTCTTTTTCTTAGTCGTATATTAAGGCTGTCGTACCTGAGACATCCCATAAAATTATAACACGTATTATTAGCTTGTCAGCACTAACCGCAATGATCAAAGTGTAAGTGCTCGAGAAATTGTGACTTCAGTGAAATTTCTTTAATTTACGTGACTAAATTATAAATACTCTAGAAGTTCAAAAGCTATCGGTATAATTTACCCTTTTTCTATTTTTTAACTCATATTTTTAAGGTAAATTACAGGAATCATCACTGATTTTTGAGTAAATTTTCATTTTCCCTACTAAAGTTTTAAAAGTAACAAATTGATAATTAATGTTATCAATATATAACAAATCGGTCACATGTAGTTAAAAGTCATTATTACAGTAATAGAATGTTGACGTGGCACGTTAAACCAACTGACTCAACACGCTATTGACCGTTTCACTACTCTTCTTCTTTTTCTTCTAACCGAGTCCCTTTAAAGACAACAATCAATCTATTCTAAGCAATATTAACAAAATATGATCCAACTCTCCAAATCACAACACACCTAACCAAGCTTTTGTATGTGGAAACTCCACAACATCCTCCTCCTCATCGTCGTCGTCATCACTTCGCTTTCTCTTAAGCTGTGAAAAAGTAGATGGCGGCACTTGAACATTCTCATCATCTTCAACTTCTTCCTCATCTCCATCGTTTCTTCTTCTTCATTACCTGGGTCCATATCACTTCCTTCAGTATCATTTTCTTCTGCTTGCACAACTGGTTGAACCAAGTAACCTTCACCATAGTCATCATTCTGTCATTCCAATCAACAAAGTTTAGTTTTAAAACAATGAGATTAATTTAAAACATAAGAAAATTCACTAAATAGAAGCCAACATATAATTGCAATTAGCCAAACTGAAAAAGAAAGCCAGAGGACATTAAAAACTAAAGTTACACCATGCAACAATATCTTAGCCTAACTCTCAATAATTTATAAATAATTATAATTAGCTGATCCTATTCCCATATGTAATGGGATAAGGGGGAGGTAGGGTAGTAGATTGCCCCCAACGCCAGGTTGAGAGCAGCTTCCGTGGAAGACCTCCGTTATGAATGAGATGTTAATAATTACAACAATACCAAAAAAATCAAGAATTATACTACTGCAATAGCATAAATTTATGCTTGAATGTCCGTATGTTTTTTTAATGAAAGATAATAAGTTTCTTTAAATATTTTTTAACAAAAAGCTTCTCAATCAATAGTGGAAAATGGAAGAATAGAAAAGCAAAAGAATTAAGATGAACATGAAATTATCAACTAAAAGGATCCAAAATTATCAATAGAAGAAGAAAAAGAGTCAAATGATCAGTCAACCATGTTGAGTCAGTTGGTTTAACGCGCCACTTCAGCATTTTGATACTACAGTAACGGCTGCTAACGGTGAGTGATCGATTTGTTATAAATCAATAATTTTAGTGACCAATTTGTTACTTTTAAAACTTCAGTGGGGAAAACAAAAACTTATTCAAATATTAGTGACTATTCATGTAGTTTACCTATTTTTTTAACCCTTGTTGCTAATAATTGAGACGTAAAGGCTCACTTTGTACGATCTCCCTTTCAAGAACGACCACTGTGGGGGCAGTTAGGCATTTCATCAAACACTCGTTGACATGAGCTTCACCATTGTAAGCAATCGGGCATTTAATTGAACCGATGGCTCACATATTAGAAACAAATCATTGGGGTCTCGATGTGGCTTCCATCTGGACGAGACTACCCATACTGAAATTACAGTCTACTTCAAATTCAACTGCATAGTTTGATCGAATTTACAATATATATATATACATACACCCACAATTTCTGGGCAAAATGAAAGTGACCATGTTATCAAATCTCAATTTGGATCTTACCAAACCAATAATGCAGCAAAGATACCGACTTGCATTAGATTGGATCTATGATGTGCTCGATTAGTACCCCTCTTCATTGGTGGTGAGGGGTTCAAGTATCGAAAAGATCTGATCACGATGATCAAATGTTCAAGATAAAAACATATGGTAAAAGGGTACGTGAAGTTTTTGTACCCTTGAAAAAAAAATTAATGTAATCATCGTACTATTTTTTTCCTGAAGGTGGGACTCCAACTAAAAAAAAACCAATATGATCATTTGACCAACATTTTATGTCTTTGGTGAATATTAGTGTAAGTCTTTTACCATTAGTATGCTCAAAATCAATCATAATTTTTTACAAAAACTATATTCGATTCTTTTTTTTCACCTTCGACAACTAACCATTCAATCATAAATCTTACAATTTGCATAATATATATATATATATATATCAACACATAATTTTACGTATTATAATCATATTTAAAACGCGATAGCATTAAATTACATAGAAAGAGTTCAAAATATACACAATTTCCATAAGATTATCCATTTAAGTAAATTTAAAAGAAAGAAAGAAATCTGCTGCTGCAGACCAATTAAGCAGTACCAGTGGAAGAGGAAAAACAATGATGGATAGATTTAGACAACAGCATTTCTCTCATTAGTTTGAATGGAACCAAAAGTGGCCCCGGCCATCATCATTACCTTAAACTCCTCGAAATCAATCATCCCATTCCCATCATGGTCCACCCCGCTTATCATCTTCCTGCACTCGGCGATCGAGCATTCGTCGCCGAGGCTTTGAAGCACCTCGTGAAGTTCCTCAGCCGAAATCGAACCGTCCCCGTCGATATCGTAGACCGAGAATGCGTCCTTCAGGTTCTCCAGAACCTCTTCGTAGTCGATCCCTTTGGTGTTCAGCTCGATGAACTCGTGGAAATCGATGAACCCATCGCCGTCGACGTCCAATTCCTTGATCATGTTCTCGAGTTCCTCGTCGGAGGGACGCTGCCCGAGTGATTTCAAGATGGAACCGAGCTCCGACGCCGAGATCTTGCCGTCTCCGTTGGCGTCGAACTTCTTGAACACTTCCTCGATTTCTTGGAGTTGGGCCTCGGTGAAGTTTCCTAAAGGAGGTCGGATCGGGGTTTGAACTAACAACGATTCCCTCGACGGAGCATCGGGTGGTGAAGCGGTTGAATTCGTGGGACGCCGCTTCTTTTTCCGATTGAAAATCGATCCAAATCCCATTAGATTGTAATCAAAACACTGAAGATCGATGAAATAATTGCAATAAAAATAGGGGAACTGAATCGTGAATGGAATTAGTAGATGAAAGGAAAATTGGGATTTTTGTTCTTTCAACAAATAATGACTGATTATTTGGCATATATAGAGGGAATGAGTAATAGAGGCAGTTTAAGCGGCGATTTACATTGCAAAATTTGTGGAGAAATAACAACTTGGAACCGTGTTGTTGGGCAGTTGAATACTATAATTTCCTGTTTTTTCGTTAATTTTACTTTTCTTTTCCTCTCCTTTTTTAATACTCAAATTATTAAGGAAATAACATTTTGGTATAATAACAAAAGAACTCTTTAACATTTGACATATTTTTCAATTAAGACCTTTTAACTTTTAAAAAAAATAAAGATTTTTTCGTAAAAACGAGTTTTGTTTGAAGAAAATGGAACATTAAAATTGAGATCGACAAAAAAAAATTAGAGGCTCAATTGAAAATAACTCAAGTATTAAGGGTTCTTTTATTATTATACCTTTTGTATTTACTTAGAAATTTTAAATTTACTGGATTAAGAGAGTATCGCGTATTTCCTTATATAAAAAAAGAGATTTTCGCCTATTTAATTTCTATTAATAATTAATTTCTATTTAATGAATCTATTAGATAATCTTTCATGATACAATTTGAATTATTAAGAAAAATGTGATATTACGTATTCTTACGGAACTTTTTATATCAATGATTACAACAGTTATAATTATAGGAAACAACTACAACAATAATAATTATTATAAGAGAATAATTAGATTGATAATTGAAATATATATATATATATATATATATATATATATATATATATAAATGTAATGGGATAAGGGGGAATTAATATAATAGGCTACTCCCAACACCAGATTAAGAGTAACTTCCGTAGAAGACATTCGAATTATGAAATACCTTCCGTGAGACTCGAACCCACGACCTTAAGATTAAAAATCTTACGCTCTACCAACTGAACTGGATAGTCATCTCATATATATATATATATATTAAAGCTTAAAAATTTATTAATTGATTTCTGTGTTTGAAGGGAGCGTTGTTCTTCGTTTAAATTGCAGAATGTTCCAATGTTTTTTGACATATACCAATCGTATCGGTATAGAGATTGGTATTAGACACCAAGGGAAAAAAGAAAAAAAACTGCACTTCTCCCTCTAATCCATGTGGATTTCAATAAAAAAAATAACAGAACCACATGAGTATATCTTGTTTACGATGGGGGGGGGGGGGGGGAATAGAATAGCCTGAAAAGCCTCTCCAAGCTTACATCCAGAACCCAATTTTGCACCATCCCAACTTCCATCATGAGTGTTTTTAACGGAAGCAAACTACCATGATATACAATTTTACATGCTATACTTGGTATCACCCCTCTGGCTCTACCATCTCGAGATCATACTACAAAATGACCCGGAACTATTCATAGGCCACAAGAAGCGCCGGTGAATAAATCGGCAACTACCCCGGACCTCGTCTAGATGATGCTGAAGACGGAATGTTTGGGGCTGATGTTGAGGGTCGCTGGGATTCTTTTGCCTCTGGCCCTTCCTGCGTAGAGAAGGGGAGAGATGACAAACTGATTCTCATATAGGAAAGCCATAAAAGACGGTGCAGACAGAGAGATGTACATCATGAAGAAAGTTTGAAGTCAACTCTTCAAACTGAAAACCTGTACTTAACATACAATCATGTGTACTAACTTACGAGCAGCTCACACACCTTCGATAAAGAAGTGGAAATTTTTCGTGCTTTTGCTTGTGCCTGTGATTTTTCAAGCATGCGGTGTTGTTGCTGCATTTGCTGAAACTGTTGCAGCCTTGAAGCAAAGTTAATTCCATCATGCAAATTCCGATTATCTTGGGTTATATCACCATCCTCTGTGATTTGCGATCCACTGTAATGTAGAATTTGGTTGTATGAGTTGTCTGATGATGATGCTCTTTTGAGTTGATCACCATCGAAGGAATACAAAGGCACAGCTTTCAAACGAGTCCGCAAGATCTTGAATGCAGCACTTTGCTGTAGTTAAATCAAAGGGTCAATACAATTAAACAATGAAAATCTAGCACACAATGTGCGCACGCGAGAGGGTCAGTTTGTGACAGTCTCTCAAGAAACTCACTACAGATGTCCCCTTAAAACCAATCAACCATATCCCTATACCGAAGCTGGAGTAGAAGAAAATGTTTGACCTGTTTGACGAGTCAAGTTGTTTGCAATGACATCCATTTTTTAGGCTTGGGAAGGGGTGCCAAGAAAAGAAAGTAGCACAGACATACCTGTGGAAGCAACATCAAAAGACCATATAACGCTTTCAGCAACCATGTATACCTTCCTGGTTCAAGAAGCTGGCAATAAAAAGAAAGGATCAGCTAAATTTAAAAGACGAACACCCAAAGTAGGGGGAAATTACTTATAATAAAAGTACAAATGCAACTACAACTAATGAATTCACTAAATCTAATATATTTTGGCATGGTAAAATAAGCAGCAAGTGGCAAAAAATCTCAGTGCATAAGATATGTGGCAATGGGGAAGGGGGGAGTTCTAAGTAGAAAAATAATCAAAAATAAAGAGAACACATGCAATATTACAATTCCTACAATTCAAGCATATTAAAGATATTAAAAGGACAAGTGGTGCCCCGGTTGGCATTTATCAAGTCACCTGCAATCTAAGATAAGTGAAGACGGGAGTTTCCAGCAAGCGAATCAATTTATCAAGCTGAACCAAGAATTTGGCATTAATATCTTCCTCAACCAAGGACTGAATCACGGAACTTGCATGCTGGTATGTCTATCAAGCGAATAAACTAGATTAACAACAATGAAAGCAGACGGTCTAACCGCAACCAGTCACATGAAAATAAAGGGATTGGATAGCCATTAAAGGAGTTTAGTTTCTTACCTGTGCTAACAAACAAAGACTTAAGATCGCCATGGGTGAATGGCACCATGAAGCATACAAAGAAACAAATAAATCTTTTCCAGCAGCATTACTAAGCGACTGTTTTAAAAGTTCACGTAGCTTGGATAGCTCAGAAGAAGTGAGTAGAATCAAATTCAAAGCCTGGAACACAAAGGAAAAAAAAGATATTTCAACAGAAGAGCATTATTGCATTAGTTGAATCCCTAAATACAAGACAACCTGAACCATGATGCAGGCAAAATCCAGGTTCGCTTCTCCCTCTAAAATGGTGGATAGCTCACGATAGACACGTTCAGCATCCAATAGAACACAAAGTCTACGGATTATCAAAGCACCACGCCTAAGAAAGGAGAATGATTTGAAAAAGAAAGAAATGAGACACGTGTACAAAATTAGAAGACAAGTTGGTCACATAGCCTGCATGAGGACCCAACTCAACAGAAAAAAAAAAATCAAAATTTATAACAAATTTCATTTAGAAATAAACAGAGTACTTGAGGGACCTAGAATTACCTCTCCAGCAGAGAATGATCAACTCGAAAATTATGCACCAGAAAAACAACAAGCTGGCGGAAATTTAGGGGATCTTGTGCTATGCAAGCATGAATATCAAGAACCAGGAGCACAACCTGATGGCAACATCAAAATTGCATAATAAGTTAGCATATATGATAACTCTCCAAAAGCAAGATTATTTTCACCTATTAGCTTGTTCTTAGGTAAATCTAAACTATTTTAGTTGATTTTGCCCATTTTCTGTGATAGTGTTTATATTTCATTTTTAAAGTCATTGTTCATACTATTTTGTTAGATTTTGAATTAATTTCGTATTAGTATATAAAAATTTCTAATCCAAGCCTACGTTGTAGGTAGAAGGGCCTTGGAATGAATTAAATTGGAGAGCAAAAGGCACAATGGTGCCATGGAGGATTTAAGCAGGAGAACAGTTAATTTTGCAGTTTTTAAGCAAGGCAACATTTTCATCGAATTAGGGGGTTAGCTGATTTACAGAAATTAGAAATGGATTGTCTCCAATTTTAGTACTGGGAGATAAGATTCACTAAGATGCATGCGGAAGTGGGTCCTAGGAAGGGAGCTCGATTAGAATTTGTGTCCAGTTATCCTAGGAGGGTCAGATTAGGATGTGAGACAATCTGCAACCTCTAGTGGGAAGTCTAGGTTATTGAGAGAAATCCTAGGATCCTTATAATTTGAGAGCTATCAATGAGTTTGTCCAACAAAAAGATTATCCAAGTTAATTATGATATAAATCCAAGTCACTAATCCACCATACTTCCATTCTAGTTTCCGAGTTAAGTCTACAATTCAATTTAGTTAATTGTTTAGATAATTGTGGAAATTAGTTTCATTCATTTTTTGTAATCTGCTTTCATGTGAACTTATAAGGAGGTCAACCAACTTTGGCAACTGAAGCTTTAATTAGTCAATTAGTCTCGTTTTTAGGAAGTATAAATTGTAGAAATTTAATCTTCCTATGGGTTTGATCCTCAAAATACTACTGTTTACAAAGACATGGGGAGTACGAGAATCTCTAGCAAAGGCAAAACTCCTTTTTGGTTCTTGAAGAGACTATAAGGATAAGGCCAACTGAGTTAGCTAGGGCCTAGGAAGTTTCAATCACAGTTTCATCTAGGAAACAACATTACATATAGAGGGCACATCCTGTTGTAATTATAGTAATACAAATATACAAAACAAGAATAGAGAAAAAATAAAATAAAATCTCTTAATGTAATCGTCAAATATGAGACACACAAGCACAAGCAGAAATATACCTCATCAGAAGAGTCGGATAGAGCTTTCAAAAGGGTGTCAAATATGTCATTTAGAAAGCACAAGACCTGATTCAATTGAAAAAAAATTAAAATCATGCATATTTGAGGAACACAAGAATTAGAAGCTGCAAATAAATACAACATGCAAATTACAAATTTTACATGAGGTCATACGCTTTTTTTCCGATTTACGTTGAAACTATCATGCTAGGCAATGCGGTACGTTCAATACATGGAAAGATTCCAGGTATGCAGCATCAGACATCTACAAAAAGTGCTAACAATAGTCCAAAGAAAGGTCAATTAAGACTTCCATTGAGACGAAGATGTTATGCATATCATGTACCAAAAGGAGTCAAAAGCTTTGACTTTGGCAGCCATCAATATCTAATTGTGGATAGGGATGGTAACGGGCCGGGTATTGGTCCTCCCGTCCCCGTCCCCGTTTAAAAAACCGGTACCCGTCCCCGTTTAAAAAACCGCGGGGATTTAAACGGGGATCCCCGTCAGGTAATCGGGGAAAACTGCGGGGAAACGGGTATCCCGTTTAGCATAAATGGTTATTTAAAAGAGTATTGGGCCGGGTATTGGGTCGGGTATTGGGCCGAGAATCGGGCCGGGTATATATATATATATTTAAATTAAATATATAAATATATATTTTTTATTTAAATTAAATTTATTAATATTATATATATATATATAAATAATTATTTTTAATATTTATCGGGTCGGGTATCGGGGCGGGTAATCGGGTAATCAGGGCGGGGATTACCAAACCCGTCCCCGTCCCCGTCCCCGTTTAAAATAAATGGGTTTTCCCCGTCCCCGTCCCCGTTTATCATCCCCGAACCCGACCCGTTTAATTCGGTTTTCGGTTTTTCCCGTCGGGTTCGGGTTTTTTTGCCATCCCTAATTGTGGACCATTATAGAGTCAAGTTGGGTGGAAAAAAATTTCTATTCAAGCGACGATTTTGGAGAAAGTCTTAGAAATAATATGCAATTAAGAGTCGGTAATGGAGAGTCTGTTTTGTTTTGGCATGACATTTGGTTGGATTCGATTCCATTAAAAGATCGGTTTCCGAGGTTATTCGCTCTCTCGGTTAACAAAGGGAGCAGAGTTTCTGATTTCAGGAAAAATACTTCGTCGGGATGGTTTTGGGACTTACAAATGAGAAGGAACCTTGCCGATTGGGAGTTGGACCAATGGTTCGTGCTTAAAACGATGCTGAGTAAATTTTTATTGTCGCCTTCGGCAGAGGACTGCTGGGTTTGGACAGGGAATGGGGAGGGCTGTTTTTCAGCCAAGTCATGTATTAGGAAATTTTTTGAGATGTCGGTTGCTAATCCTATTTGGGTCAGACACGTTTGATTAGGGGTAGCCCCGCCTCGAGTGGAAACTTTCGTCTGGCAGGTCGTTCATCAAAGATTAGCGGTTAAAGAGGAGTTGTTGAAGCGTGGAGTCGCAGGGATCGTGGATCCACTTTGTCCGTTGTGTGGCAGGTTTTCGGAGTCTGTTTCTCATTTCTTTGTGCATTGTGTTGTGGTTTGGCGCTTATGGTCTAGATTTTTTCACTTTTGGAACGTTTCCTTTGTTGTTCCGGAGAGTCCGGCTGCTTTGATCTCTGTTTAGGCAGATCTAGTTCCACGCTCGACTGTTTGGACTTTCATTCTAGGAGCGGTAATGTGGTCGGTTTGGTAGGGTAGGAATGAGATTATTTTTGAGAAAGGAAAATTGAACTCAACAGTGTTATTTTTTCTTGTTAGATATAGGATTGAAGCATGGTTTGTAGATAGATTTCTGGACTTGGTAATTCCTTTTGACTCTTTAGCAGGCAAACCAAAAGTAGCAGATTCTGCTGTGAGTTCTAAGGTCAGTTCTTCCTTGGCGCGCTGGGTTCCTCCTCCTTCGGGCTTCTTCAAAGTCAATGTGGACGGTGCTATGGTTAAGGGGTGGTCAAGAGGAGGTATTGGTGGTTTGCTCAAGAACAGTGATGGTGTGCTGCTGCGTTCATTCTCAGAGAGTGTTGGTCCCGGGCCTCCTATCCTTGTTGAATTATTGTCTATTAAAAGGGGTCTGTTTTTATTTGTGGAGTCCGGTTTTGATTCAAGGGGGAGGCTTATTCTAGAATCGGATTGTTCTACTGCTTTGGAGTGGATCAAAAATCCGGGTTGCTGCACTTCGTTGTTCAAGTCATTGGTGAAAGATATTGCTGATTTAGTGGTAGAACAGGATGTTATCGTTTGACATATTTTGAGATCCGCCAATTGGGAGGCGGATGGGTTGGCTAAAGTAGGAATTGAGTGATTCCTGGGTTTTCGGGTCTGGGTGATTATGTTAGGTTCTGGGTGTTATGCTGGTTGTTTAAGTGTGGGTTTGTATGTTTTGGTCAGTTTTGGGTTGAGGTGTATTCTGGCTGTTGTTGTTTGTATTGTACTGGTACTGTACTTAGTATTATATCCATACAAATTTGTGGCACCCTGTTCCTCCTTCCAATGTCCGTTAAGCTACTTCTGTAGTTTGAAGGTTATGAAGGGGTTTTTTAACGAGGCCTCCTATTTTTATCAAAAAGGTTGTATTAATGAAGAAAAGGCTAGTGGAACTTTAATTCAAATCTTTTACTTAGCGTCTACCTGTATTTTAACAGCCACCATCTTCAGTGAATTCTACTAGAACTACAAACATGCATAAAGTGATAGACACTCCTTGTTCAAAAGGAAGACAAAATAGAAAGTAACAACAACATGAAAAGAAGACACCTTCAATGTGTAATTTTAAGAAATTTGAGATTTATTGCAAGGAATTTAAATGCTTAAACAGTAATACAAACTTGGAATTCAAAGAAGTGTTTGACAAGTAAGATCACTGACAAAACAAAGTATGAGAAAACACACATAGCCAGATGTAATAAAAAATAACAAATAACTGCTTCCTCACCTCAGCACGATGTCTGTCTAAAAGGGTTGATATCCAGTGCAATGCTTCAATTCTAGTGGCTTCCCACTCACTATCCAGTTGCCTGATCAGTCAAAGAAAATAGTAATTACTAGAAAACCACTGCACAGTGAAGTTATTTGAAGAGTAAAATAAAACAAAGACACCATTTTGAGCACTTTACAGTCTTCAAAATACAGAAGGGGCATATATGCTGATGGAAGTGCAGATTACTAGTAACATTTCAAAACAAGCATTTTCCCAAAGTAATAAAAACTATACCTCCTTGCAATGGAGAGAACAGCCCCAACATCAAAACCCTCTGCTGGATCAGCCTTGATTGAACGAAGTTCCTCATTGGTTTCACGAGCAACCTAATATAAAAATATTAAAATAAACACATAAAGGAAAGAACTCAAATGAGTTTCTAAAAGACATTGCAAAACGTTAATCAATAGTCATTAGGCATGCTATAAATTTACCACTCTAATTTTCTCTTCTTTATCAGATATGCAGGGTAGAATGGCTCCCAGTATGGCAGCATAGTAAGGAACAAGCTGGTCTCCACCAAGTTTTACAAACTCGTTTATCTGTCCGAAGAAAAAATTAAAATTATATGATGTGATGTGAAGGTAATGGAACAATTGATCTTAGAATAGCAAGGTAAAAAAATAGTATGAACAAATAAGTTGATAAGCGGAAGAAAGAATCAATTATCAAGTTGATTTTCCTCTTTTCTCATATAAAAATGTTCCCATCTATGGCAGCATAGAGTCAAATGCTACTAACCCAAGTGATAGCTGTTAACCGAGTGAATTCATCAGGAGAAGATGCCCTTTGCACCAGTATTTCAGTCATGCGACCATAATCTACAGACTTCAAGAGTAGCACTGTTTGAGTCAGAAAATTACAAATGAACAAAACATTTCTTTTTATGAGAAATCTTCGTAATGATATATAATATGTCCTAGCCCGTTTGAGTAAAAAGTTGATGTAATCAATCATGTTATTCCCATAAAAAAACTGTAAAACAGAAAATCTCAGCGTAAGAAACTTCAAGACGTGTGGCCATGAAGATAATCCAACAGTCAAAGAACATGTTAGTAGAAATCTTACTGGGGAGTTTTTAATCTCTTGGAGGAACTCTGAAAGTGCCGAATCAGCTTGTTGCCGTATTTCACGACTAGAATCACTTAACATATTGAACAAACCTGAAAGTTGTCAAGAACTAATTAATTAAAACAACTTCTCCAAGGGAAGTAGTACAGTGGTTTGAAAGACACGAGATTTTATTACCATCAAGAAAATCAGGGAGGAAACCCAACATGTCAATATCTGGGACACTATCCAGTACAGTTATCCATCCAACCAAAAACTGGCGGACATAAGGATTCAGGACATTCATACGCTCTCTTAGTAAAGGTATAAATTCTTCAATACTGAAAGCAAAGCAATCATACACATGATATTATAAAGATATAACCCAGAAAGTTGAAATGAGACCTCTAGATAAAACAAGATTTGTGAGGTAAATTTGGAAGGGAACACAGCATACCTAAACTGGTCGCTTTCAGTAACAATGTCCTGTTTCACATAGAAAAAATAGTAGGGCAATAAATTCCCATATTTCCACATAAGTAGATGCCAACATTTAGATGAGAGAGCAATTATTAACCTTGACAAGCCTATCTAAAAGGTGAGCAGCACTCTGTACATTGGGATCAGAATCAGCAGATAGCTTGCATAATGCATCAAATATCTGATTAAAGAATATGATAAAATCGCCTCGGACAACCTGTACAGAAGAAGACGGCATATCCTGTCCACTATTAGTAAAGAAAAAATGAAATTACGAGAAAACATAGCTAAACCAATCTTCTTTCACCTTTGCAATGTTATATAGTGCTTCACATGCATAATATCGCACTCTGCTATCTTGGTCAGATAAAGAATTAAGCACGGGCGGCACAATTTGCTGGCAGATTGCATCAAGAGCAAATTAATCACTAAATTTATTAAGTGATAATGAAAAACCCCGTAGCTCAATTCAGGTTATAACTAATAATTGTTTTCGTATTAACAAACAAACAGTTTAAAGGCGTACTAGCAAACAACCCTAAAAACATTACAATCATAGGGAATAAGTCCTTGAGCCTTGAGAGGTAATCTTTTTCTTTTCTTTTTTTGAAAGACTTGAGAGTTAATTCTTGTTCCTCGAATAACAATACCATGGTAAACATTCTTCTACATGTTTCCAAAAGATTTAAACATGCTAACAGACAGCTACTAAAGGCAAACTAGTGCTTACCTCAAGATGTTGGGCAGCTTCGGAACTCAAGGCAACAGTGGCAGCAGCTAAACCAATCAGTCCTCCCTACATAAACACAACACCGAAATTTAACAAGACTAAGCAAAAAAAAAAGGATGGAAAAAGTCCCCAAAAAAATTAAAAATTCACAAGACCACTCATCGTCCACCAACCTTACGGTGATTGGATTGTGAAGAGTAGGTAAATTCCTTGGCCAACAAATTGATCACCGCCGATACCTTATCATGATCTCCCGTCGACGCCAGCTGTTTCACGATTCCTTCAATCTACAAAGTCGTCATAACGAAAAGGTTAAGCAACTCAATCATTGCAAGAAAAACAATAAAACAAAGACTTAGAAATTGAATTCTACTGAAATGCAACAAGAAAAAGGAAAGAAAACCTCAAGAGCAGAATTCTTGCGCTTCTCGTACAGCTTGTCTGAAAGATTACGGAGAACTGACGCGGGAATCACGGAGATCGCGTCGGCCATAGCAGAAAATTAAAGAAAGAAGGGAAAAATCTTTCGGTAAAATCAAATCCGTTTCCTAATATTTTCGAATTCGAATCTGAACATAGCTTTCTTGAATTTCCTCCTTTTTTTCTCTTCTTTCGATCCTTTAGGGTTTCCTGTTTTTCTATTTGGATCGATAAATGGAAATTGGGGGGAAATTTAGATCTGGAGAAATTTTGCAGCAACGAAGCTATACTCCTATTTTGAGGAAAACGAATGAGATCGGATTTTTCAAATACCTTTCTTCTGAATTATATTATTTTTAACATTTGATTTTAAAAAATAATTAATCAATTTGTGATTGTGTAGTTTTTGGTTTAGAACTTTAGATAAAAGGATAACGGGGGTCGAAACTGACGTGGTTAACGTGAAATGACCAAATTACTCTTTCAGTCTTTGGTATGACGCTTTTACTGTTTACAATCCAAGCGTCTCATAGTTTGATGAGGTGTGGGCAAAAGGGTAAAACTGAAATTCTATAATGATAAGAAAAAGTGGTACTTTTTCCACTAATTCTTACCCGTGATACTGGTGTTTTAGATTAGATTAAATCCGCTTTGTCTTAATTGGTGGATTATTCCATTTTAACGTTTTCCAAGTGGATTTAATAAAGATAAAATAACTTCAGCTATCGAAAATGGTATAATATACGATTTTAATCAATTTTTTTTATTTACGAAAATGACTAACAAATTCGCAACGCGAACTTCAATTGCTCAACACATGTTCCAAAATCGCAATGCGATTTTCCAAATTCGCAACGGGAATATGTAAATCGAAACGCGAATATGTAAATCGAAACGCGATTTTCAAATCCGCAACGCTAATTACCGATATATGTAAACAGTATTATCGCAACGCGATTTTCAAATTCGCAACGTTAATTACATGTATAGGTAAACACAACTATCGCAACGCGAATTTCGCAAATCGAATTCGCCAATTTCGCAACTTAATTACCGACATAGGTAAACACAGTAGAAAACATCCGAAAAAAAATCTCGCCTCTTAAAGAAAAAATCATTTTAACAGTTCATTTGTTTGGTTAAAGTTAAACGAACAAACGAACGAACGAATATGAACATACTCTCGTTCGTGTTTGTTCAATTCATTTACCAAATTCGTAACTCAGTTTTCAATTTGTCGAATTCGGATTTTTTTTACCGGATTTTTTCTACCGTTTTACCTATATCGGTAATTGAGTTGCGAAATTAACGAATTCAATTTGTGAAAATAACGTTGCGAATTTGAAAATCGTGTTGCGATAGTAGTGTTTACTTAGGTCGGTAATTAGCGTTGCGATTTTTCTATTCGTGTTACGATTTTAGAACATGTGTTGCGGAATTAGAGTTCGCGTTGCGAATTTGTTGGTAATTTTCGTAAATCCAAAAGAAAATGATTAAATTTGTATATTATAAGGCATTTTCGGTCACTTAAATTATTTTTTCTCTTTAATAAATGTGTGATGGTTTTTGAGGATTTTAACTTTAATAGAAAAATACAATAATTTCCTTAACACAGTGTCTTACTAATTTAAATTAACCTTCAATTTTGAATTTGGATTTTTTTAATTTGGTCTCTAATTCTTCCTTATGTTCATTATGATCCTTAAAAATTCAAATATAATTGAATTTGGATTTTTTTTACTTGGTCTCTAATTCTTCCTTATATTCATAATGACCATGCAATTTTTTAAATGTAAATTATTAAATGATCTTAATGGTAAAAAAGATTATATCCGTAAGATATATGTATATTACCAATGATTAATAAAGATTTTACATATATACTATCTTATAATTTTTAATAATTTGTTGAACTACTGAGTTTTGGTAATTCATATAATGATATGATGATAAGGTTTAATAATATTATGGCTTAAGAGTCACCTTTGTCCTTGCAGTGAACTCAATTTATCATTTTACCCTCTATCGTATTTTCGTATTAATTTAATCTTTAAAGTTACTCAATTGTATCATTTTATGTCATTCCTATAATTTAGGGTTTTAAGTTAGAAATAAGATTATAAAAATGATACAACAACTTTAAAGACTAAATTGGTGCGAAAATACGATAGGGACGAAAATGATAAATTGAATTTACTACAAGGGCAAAATTTACCATTTTGCCTAATATTATCTAATCGAACTAAAATTTCAGTTATCATAAGGTACAAAGATCAAATCTTCATAAAATAGAGGTACATAATTATCAATTTTCGTAAAATAGAGGGATGCATTAGAAAAAGAGGAGAAGCTGGGAAAGATGGATATAGTGAAATAATGGGTTAGGATCCAATTACACAATGTAAAACTCTTTAGTTTTACACAAACTTAAGACCGTTTGATGAGTGAAAATAGATGGCTGAGATTAAATTTTTTTTCCACAATAAATATTTTCATATTTCCTACTTTTTTTATATCAGAACATTAATGAAGCAAAATACAACATAAAGTATAAACATAACATTTGAAGCATGAAAATAAATCCATTCTTAGATGAAAAGAAAGGCTAAGATATTAACCAGAGGTGCTTCTCTCCATGACTTGGTTTTCTACTTTACGTATGCAGAAAATATAAACAACCGGATTAGATTTTTACATATGGAGCCCGAGTCTCCGTTTTGTCTTTTCATACTTGTTCGGTTCCCTTCAAAATATTGTACTTGCAGAGAGGGCAAGTTGCATTCATCTTCAGCCATTTCACGATGCACGTTGAATGAAAATGGTGGTTGCATGGGAGAGCATGGAGGTCGTCCCCGTCGTCGTATGAGCATAGACATATACAGCATTCCTACAAGAGACAGAAAATGTATAATGATAGTACAGTAGTCAACCAAAGGAGTTGAGTTCTTTCTAAAATATGTATCGATCCAATGGGCATTGACATGAAGGGAATCCAAAACAAAAGCACAAAACTCGACCAATGGCATTAGACTCGATGGCTCGACCGATCAACTAGAGGGACACATTGGCTGCCTACCAAAACCCTACCCTTCACCTTCAAGTCATAACCCACATTGGATGCTCGTAGTCAAACCCAAATGACACCAGAAACCAAGTGGAGCTCTATCCCCCCAAAACAAGGCTATCCACATTTCTGCTATGAAACCAGAATCAATGCTTGAAACAACGAAATCTAAGAAACTCATCTGACTAGTGCAAATAGCCATTAAAGAGCTATCCAGATAGGCTCTTTTCTCTACTTCTTACCCTTACTCTGCTATTTTATCCTCTTTCCCGAGACCAAACTCCAGCACCCTTGACCTCCTCTCTCTATTTTGCAGGTGCTCAGACCGCCCTATAGTACCACCTTTATCTGACCTGAAAATATGTATTTTGTAAAATACCCAATATGAACTTAGACAAAAGAGTCCTTTTATTTTCGGGGGGGGGGGGGGGGTCAGAAAAAAACAAGAATATAATAAGTCCATCTGATCACTCATCAAATTATTACGAAGCATGATTGTTTGCTGTGGTCCTGTGGAGTAGCCTTAAAAGAATGAATGTCCAAGACAGGAAGGGAATGAGGCAAAACTATTTTGACGGATCAACATAATTGCGAAAATTATAGTAATTCCATAATAAAGTTGTAATTTACTGCATCCTCGGGTAAGAGTATGCGCTCATATGCCAAATATCCACTGCTTGTTTCTGTGGGAACCATTTTTCCTGCCCCTACACGAGTCTTCTCACCATTGTTTATAATCTGATATTTATATTTTGGAAGTATGCTAAGATCTGCTTCTGATGCACCTTCCTAGTCAATAGCAAAAGAAACGAAGATGCCATCATGCTATGACCAATTCGTTTAAAATTTCTGAGTCGGTGTAACTATTAAGTGTCGTTTTTATACCTGCCCCGCAACAGCATAAAGAATTGCAATGATGCATGGCAAGCAGCAACATAAAGCAATCCCAATCAAACACACCAAAACAACACAAAAGATCGCAAATATCACGTCAAATGCCAGAAAAACCACAGCCAACCTGCAGATAGCAAAGATAAAGATCCTGAAGTCGTTCTTGATTACACCATAGTACAATACAAGTCACAAACAGTAAAAGACGAGAAAATTCAAAACATAGAAACTATATTTGAAAATCTGGAATGGTTGCATTTTTCAATAAATTGGTAAGCGGATTTAGAAAACTCCCGTATAAATTTCTGGTCTCCATCACGTCAAAGTCGATATATGGTACTAACGATAACGTATATGTCGAAACTGACATGCTTGTCAAATAAAAAGATTGGTTAAAGGCATACCAGTATAAGCGTGGAGCACTTCGAAGAAGGATGTCACCACCAGAAACTACCCAATAGAAGCCCACTATCCACCAAACAAATGATGCCATGGTATTCACCGATTCACATCGTTTAGTTACACTGCCCATTAACCATCAACTCAGTACGAGAATAATAATTCAAATTTCCTACATCATGGTCTCTAGAACAGAAAAGAAATGCAAAATCAAGATGGAAATACAAGAAGAGTTTCACTCAAATGATAGCACGGTAACAATTTTTACATCTCGGTCAATAGGATCATCCGATAATCAAAATAAATAGCTACCAAACACTACTACATAGTGTCCGTAAATCAGTTGGTACGACGAGTTGCACATCAACTCAGTTTGTACAATCCGGACTTGGCACTCACATCTTGAAAGGGAATTCTACATTTAGGTCATCGATTTCCATTAATCTATTACCTGCTTGAAAAATCATGTTCAACCATTCAATCATTAAACCAGACAAATGCCACAAATCATTTTCTTGATGTCCAGCATCTCACATAAAAGGGAAAGGGTTCTTGTTCTTGTATTTGAGTCATGGAAGTATTCGAGTACCTAAAGTGGACCGATTTCACTCACTCAGATATATTCCATAAGTTTTGGAAATTCTGCTCACCTTGAAAGCAACAATAAAAGGATAATGGTAATTCAACCAACTATTTTCCCGCGAACACTCAAAGAGTGTCATTCAGGAACAAAAGGCAACACCAAAAAACCCTTCAAAATCTCTGATAATAACGAGAGAGATCAAACTTACCCCCATCTAATTCGGCTTAAAACCAATAAAATCCCAATTGAGCTTGAACCCTCGCGCAATTTATGAATTTAGCACCAAAAGAAACAATGCTTTCACAAATATTATATTATTTAAAAAGCATAAAAATCATGCTCCAATACAAATTTGGTTAAAAAGATAGGCCAGAATCCATATCCAAATTAAACTAAACCAATAAATAAACACTCAAAGACATCAAATTCAACACTCACAAAAAACCCAGATTGGCTTTAGCTTAAAAGAATAAGACGCACATGAAATTTTAAGTCAAACTATAAAATAACTTACCTTGATTGATTTGAATCAGTCCCATCTAATTCATCTTCACTATCATTAGCATCTCCAGCAGCAGCAGCAGTATCTCCTCTCTCCTCATCCCTAGCAGATGTTCTTATAGTGTTCCTTCTCCTGTACTCCAACCAAACCAAAACAACATGCACCAAGCACTGCAAAGCATACCCACATATCCACAGTCTAATAGACATGTTAGGCCTCTCATCCACCGAACAGATCAGCATCACGACCGACACCACCACGAACGCCGTGTTCCACAACATATCCAAAGCCACCACCGGCTTCGAGTACCCCCAGTCCGCTCGTCTCTCCTCCAGCTCACGTGCCGCCGTCTCCCTCACCAGCATGGAGGCGCCACGACGTCCCGTGACCCGCCCCAACATAAGCGCCAGCGAGGCGGGACGAGTCGCGGGGGCATCGGGCTGGCGGGAGCGGAGGAGAGGCGCGAGAGGGTCAGTCGCCGACGTAGTGGTAGTCGTTGCGGATAACGATGGGGAAGACATGTGGGAATTTCGATATGGGTTTTTCTCTCTCTATTTGTAGGGAATCTCCGGGGCTTCAGATAGAGAAATTAAACATAATTTAGCTAAATTTTCTTCTTTTTGTTGAAAGAAAGGAAAGGGAAAGGTAAGCTTGAATGGAAAGTTGTGGAAAACTATAGAGAGGAATGTTTTCGGGTGAAGAGAGAGGCTTCGAGTTTGCTCTTTGGATTTTGGACTTTAATGTTGTTGCCTGTTAGATGGTAAAAACCCATATAATTAAAAAAAATATGATTTTGAATCTTATAAATAATTAGTAAAACATTGAAAATTAATGAAAAATATCTTATTTATCCCCTTAATTATAAATAAAATTTCATTTCAATATCTTCCAACATTTTAAGTAATAATTCTAAAAAATTAGAAAATTTAGATTTTTTTTTAAAAATATATGAAAATAAATTATTTTTAAAAATTAAAAAATATTTTCAAAAAATCCAGTTATCAAACAATGAAACTAATTTTTTTATTAAGCAAAAATTATTTAATAAATAATTATTTATTTAATTGTTATTGTATTTGTAAAATAAAAATTTATAACTTTCAAAGTATGAAAATTTATATTATCAAATAATAAAATTATTTTTTATTAATGATGTGATTTAAGCATTTAACTTTTATTTAAAAAATGTAAATGTAATTTAAAAATCACCATATTATTATAATATCATATCAAATAACTTTTAATTTATATAGTACAAGTTTAATATTTATAATTAAAAGATGATACTTATTTTATGCATATCTATTTTATTTTTAATTCAACGAACCTAATAAAAATTATTTCAATTAAAATTAAGAGTAAAATTAAATTTCAGTTATAATTGAAGGGTTAAATGAGATGTTTCTTAATGGGTTTGTGCCCATTTTGTAACAAAATTAAAATTTAATATTCATTATATAACTTTTAAAAGTTAAATATCTCTCTGAATAAGCATAATCATCATGATCTTTAAGAGCTAAAAAAACTCATATTTGTGTCGAACTTTGCTTGGTAATATAATACAGTGAGCACACAAAGTAAATCTGCAAATCCTACATATGAATGCTCCACTTCTTTCCTTACCATAACCGATGCATGGCCCTTTAAGAGTTGTACAGAAAAGACACAGAATGTTGATGTCCTTCACATGTGAGAGTGTAAGGAGTTGTACAACAATACAACACCACCACTATTGTCGTTTTGCTGCGAAACCACAGCACTCATTCCCTCAAATCAGAAGGGCAAGCACATTCCCAGTGGACAATGAATTCACATCCTGGCTCCATACACTGCAGAGCTAAATCTTGACAAGGAACACCACATTCAAAGCATTCCGGATAATAATACATTTTCTTCACAAATCTCAGAGGGTGCGGATGCTCTCCTTCTTTGTAGATTTTTCCGGGTTTGATAAACGGATATTCTCCCATTCGGACGACACAATAGAGATGAGCAGAAGTGTCACAAATTCCACAGCAATAAAACCAATGACTCGGGTTTCGTTCTTCTTCACAAATGTCGCAAAAATGACTTTCTATGTACTATCATCGTGATATGTAAGGGCTAAAAGATGTTCATCGCATTTGTGATGAACTCTGCTCGGTAGTCTGACACACCTAAGACATGAAGCAAATTTGCAAATCTTGCATATGTACGCACCACTTATTTCCTCACCACAACCTGTGCACGACCTTTCATACATGTATAAGAAGAAGAGAGGATGTTCATGTCCTTCAAATGTTAGAGTATAAGGAGTTGCACACTGAAGGCACGAATTTATCCCACACCGAGGGCAGTCATAGGCAAAGCCATTGCAGATGCGCCGACAATAGGAGCATTTGAAAATGTTGCCTGCAACAAGGATGACTGGTCTCTCGCACTCGTGAAGCCAAAAATGTTGCTTCCTAGGAAATGCAACACATTTCTTGTGAAGAAAAAAGTTACATTCCGAACAACAGTAAAATGAATCCGAGATAAGTGATGTGCAACCATCACAAAACTTGTACTCCTCCGGGATCATGTCACTCGATATTAGATCACGTTCATGACAAAAATGTCTGATCTTTGTTACTTTTCCTTCTTCATTCCTTCCGATAACAATATAAGAATCCCTAGATTCTTCAGACAATGATGTCGAATCATCGTCGTACTTTTCAACCGACTCTATTACAGAGTACCAGTTTACCTTTGTAGCACATTCCACATGGACGATAAAACGACACCTTGAACAACAGTAACTACCGTGATCCGAGTCGACCTCGTCGAGACAAATCACACAATCCATATTCTCATATTCATGTCTTTCAAGGAAATAGATGTGAAAAACAGGGTGCTCATGCCACAACAATTTGATTATGGGCGGCAATGAAATGCATTTCTTATGGACCAGAAGGTTACAATTTGTACACATGTAGGGAACACTATTCCCCTCGACACCACGTGCATCACAAGTGAACGATGTTGGTAAAAAAAAAAGAGAGTGAAGGGGTGTTGATGACCTTTACTTTCAATAGTAGATGGTTGTGACAAACATGCTATGTGAACGACGAAGTCGCAAAGCGAACAACAATAACAAAGTCTGAATCGATCGGTGTCGCCGCAAATGATGCAAGGGAGTTTTTTAACACTAAACTGTAGAACAATAAGGTGCTTATGGTGATACGGATATAGGATTTCGAAAGATAATTCAGCACACTTCTTATGTAGATTAAATCCGTGATCCAGAGAATAATATGAAGAATCAAACAGTGGCTCCCAACACCCTAAGCAGATACTACTTTCAAGTTCTTTGTTCTTATCATCAATGGAAATGGATGGATCTTTGTAGGCAATACCTTGAAGATGTCCGAAACCGTTTTCAGCAAAGTTGTATGTGAACAAAGTACATTTGATGTGTAAATCTACATCACAAGAACAATGGTATACGAACATCTCACCATCTTTGCCGCAGAAATTGCAAATAAAGCCTTGCTCGTATGTTGGAGTTGCAGATCGCGATGAAAAGGGTGATTGATCTGCAAGGTTGCCACGGCGCATTCTTTATGCAAGTAAAACCCACAGTCGGCACAGCTAAAACTTGGACCGGACATGAGTTCACCGCACCTTGAGCAGTGAGCCGCTTCACTTTTATTGCTCTGCTCTTCATTCGACACCAGTGGATGTTGATGTCCAAAATGTTCCGACTCCATTTTTCTCGTTTCTATGAGCTTGAATGGGGAGGCAGAGATCAATGGAAGAAAATTGCGATTATTAAAATCTGCATTATATAAAAAATGGTTAAGTGGTTTTAAATTAATAATGATATGAACCAAATCCAGCTTGGGTTGGCATTCATTGATGCAAAACGACTAGTTTGGTTGGATCATTTGTTTACCCAAATACAATAAGTGGACCACTTCCATGTTGAACATTAAACCATTTCTTATTGTATTTTATTCGTTAATAATGTATTTAAAATCTGACTCAATATGATCAAGTGGACTAAGCTTTAGAAGATCGACAGCAGATGGTTGAATGGACGATTATATATGCAAGAGGAAAGAAGCTACTAGCCACGGTTATTCGAATGGCTGACACTGTAGCAAATGGTAACCCCAATTTAGAAAAACTAGGCAAGATCTGAAATAAATGCACCATTTTCATAACCAAGTCCTAGGCTTTATAATATGTAAAAGACGAGAACTCAAATTGAGTCGTAGAACATGCGGCGTGGTCACAAACAGTGAACAAATACTGATTTATGTTTAACATCGTACAACCAGAGCTGCTCCATGGAATGGGATTTATATACAATGACAGAATCCGGACTAAAACACGACGCGTCAAGTAGTAGAAGTCAAAAATAAGATTCAACATTATGGAAGAAACAACCTCTGCAAACGAATATAACGAAATTTTTTCTTCCATGGTTGTATTAGATAATGGTGATGGGCAAGGTTGTGAATCACGAGTCCGAGTCCTGTCTGCTTGCTAAACACAGCTCATGCAACTCATTGAGTATCCACTCCTCACCAGTGTGTCCGCCTAATACCAGGACCCTGGTCCCTCCGACGACACAGGTACTATGACCCCAAGTAAATTTTGGTGGTTGCCCAGGAACATTGAGAGTCCTCCATGACGGTTTATCTTCTGAAGGATCCAAGAGGAAGAGCTGAGAAGGAGAGTGCAACCCGGCAATGGAACCACCGAATATAATTATCCTCCCACAAGGCATGCTTACAGCGACGTGATCGAGTCTAGGAGGAGGTACCACAGCACTTTGGCTACCAACACTGGTGAAGGCACTACAATCCAGCTGCTGCCAGTGTGGTTCTTCGTCCTCCAAATCAATGGTGTAGGCTTCACCTGATCGCAATCGCAGGTTCCCACTCTCTGCAAGCCCCCCAAACATAAGAATTTTAGTACGACCGTAAACGGAAAGTGAATGGCCCAGCCTAGAAGGGGGTGTCCATGATGTTGGAATCTCTTTCCATGTTGGCTTGTCTGTAGTAAGATCCAAAAGATAAGTGTCGCTGAGAAGCACCCCAGCATCTGTGCACCCACCAGACACAACTAACTTAGAGCCATCTATGGTGCAAGAACTATGCCAAGATCTAGGGAGAGGGGGAGCACCACCAGAGACTTCTTTCCATGTAGGTTGTTTTGGCATCCAAGTCGAGAACAAAGACATCATTGAGCAATCCTTGCCTTCCACATCCTCCAAATACCACCAACCACGAACCATTTAGACATGAGAGAGTATGGCCCCAACGCCCTGGAGGGGACGATTCCACACTTACCCGCTGCCACGCTGGATTTGTAGCATCAAGATTGAGAACAAAGGTGTCATCCATTGGCTGCATATTGACTCCCTCACCTCCGAAAAGCACTAGACGGTTCCCTGCTGCACATGCACTGAAGTTGCATCGTAACGGCTCCACCGCTCCTCCAACGGTCAGTTTCCTCCAACAGACAGCCTCAAGAGTGGTCAGTTCTCTGGCAAGACGTCCCCATCCCAACTTTTTAGTCATCATTTCCAACGTACCAGTGACCTCTCTTCCCCAGGCATTTTGACATACCATCTTTCGCACATGCTCATTTTTTGTCAGTTGTCGTATCCTTCGGCAGACAGACCCAATAGAAGCGATGTCTCTTGGCGTCAACCGAGATAAAATGTTATGAGCTAAAACTTCATCAGAGAGTTGGAGTATTCCACATATTTCTCGTTGCTGACTGAATGGTGGATCATTCAAATGAGAGAATTTAGTTGACTCATCCAACTGCTGATTGCAAGTCTCTTTGAAAACAGGATATGATATACGATTCAGATCTAGTTTTGCTTCGGAAAACACTTGAATACCAATAATGTGAGTGACTATTCCATCATCATCACGTATAGGTGCAATTTTCAATATGTTCACCAACGGAGTGCCATCCTTCCTGAAATTCAGAAGCTCACCTTGGAATTCAATACCATCTTCAAGACATCTTCTGATCTCAGAAACAACAAAAGGATCTACCAAAGGGTGCCGTCTTTGAGCACATTGATCTCTATACTGTAAGAACCGACTGAAAAAAGAATCCCATAAGAGGGCCAATCTAGATCCTTTAAATCAAGTGATTATTAAAAGATAAATAAACATCAGAACTCGATAGGGAAGCATAAGAATTACAAGAAAATGAAAACTTCCATTACCAAAATTGTGAATACCATCCAAAAGGATGCCCAAAACAAGATAACATGGAAATAAATTAATCTCTGGAGCAATTTTTATCCACTCCATGTTTCGCCTTGTAAGCTGGAGGACATGAACATCTCAAATTCTTTTAACACGTTAAAAATTAAAACAATCAATAGCTAGATGTCTCTCACTCACCACAATAAAATCAAATCCTTTTCAACAAAGCAAAGAGGGAAAAGATAATTTTGCAGCACAGTCTAACTTTTTTTATGCTCATTTAACCACAAATAAAAAAGATTTATCATCATTTACCATCGAAAAACATTTTTCTAAATATTCAAAGACAACTGCTATTCATGAGTATTTATGGTGGTTTAGAGCCTGGAAGAATCATTTTCTGCTTCAAGCTGGAAAGAATACTAACTTTAAACACACTAAAGTCATCTTTCAAAAGGATAGGTTCAATTACATAGATTCTTCTCTGTTTCTCCTTGCAACTCTTCATTATTGGCAAACAAAAGTTCATTCCTTACTTGGCTCTTCTTAATTCATCCCATACTGATCTACATCTGAAATAAGATGGTACTTAAGAATATGACGGAAAATTCTCATAGGAGAATTTATCAATAAGATTTTCAAGCATTTACTTCCTTTCTTTTTTATAACCTTGATTGGGAGTGGAACTTACTTTTGTACAAGATGAAACAGAAGCTGGTTGCTGTAAATGATCTCTAGATCACAAGTCTTCTACATTTATATGAAAGTCATCATGATGAATGTTCACTTGACGAAAATGCTTTATAGAATGACTTTCACTATGTTGAAAAAGTAGATTACTAAAGTGGCTTTAATGATTGAACCCGAGCAATTCAGCGCACACTCTTCTCATTGCCTCTATACAAGAACAAACAGTTTCTACCAAGTCCCAAATAATGTAATAACCCTGACTTAATATGTTGAAAAAGTAGATTACTAAAGTGGCTTTAATGATTGAACCCGAGCAATTCAGCGCACACTCTTCTCATTGCCTCTATACAAGAACAAACAGTTTCTACCAAGTCCCAAAATAAATGTAATTAACCCTGACTTAATAAGCTAGGATTAAGTTTACAGGTTCTTTGACATGATATCAAAGCATTTCTGATGTAGTCATCCAAAATATCCAAACTGGAACTCTCAGCTACCTTTATTCTTTCTATTAATTAAATCCGAGCGCAAGTGGCCTGGCTCTGCATATGTTCACATTGTCAAGCCCTCGAGGCAAAGGAAGCATCCTAAAGATACAGTCCATTCTAATTCCTAGATACAAATTATCCAAAAAAGCCATTATTAAGAATATACCATTATATAGGCTTATATAATTGGCTTTGTTTTATCTTCGTGTTCTTACACTAAAGCAGTTGGCTCCATTTAGCTTAAACATTTTCTGCCACCACAACAATTCATGTTCTTAGGCCAGATGATTCATATTTATGACTTCATTTTAGAGCCTCGATTTACAAATTCTGTTAGTTTGTTTTGTAAAAAGTTTTGAGCTCCTATACTTTCATATTTGACTACTTGCAAGACCTTCACGCATCAAATGAGCACCATGAGTCCAATAAACAGCACTTATAACTTGTTTTTGATCAATTATTGAAAGTTGTTTCAAATATTTACAAATCATCAAATTTCACCTAAATTTACTCCAAAAATATTTAATTACCCCTAAAATCGGCATCAAATGTTATAAAAGTAAAAAAGGGCAAATAAACTAAAAGAAATCTCACCAGTTCCTACCAAGGACTTCGTCGGCTCGGTAACCGGTGAAAACCTCGAAGATGTTATTGACATAAATAATAGGGAAATCGGGCTCCAAAGCATCGGAAACAACGAAAGAAGTCGGGGTTTTAGGGTAATACAATAGACCTGATTTCATAGGAAGCTGGCTCTCTTCTTCTTCTTCAACATCATCGTCTTCGTCGCCACCACCACCACCATCTTCTTCTTCTTCCATTTCTTGTCGTTTTACTTCTTCTTCTTTTGCAAATCGTTGTCGTTTTCCACTGCTATGCATCATCAGTTCTTCTCCTTTAGACATTTTTTTTCTTCTTTCTTCTCTGTTTGTAATCGGGATATGTGGGCTTTCCCATCTTCAAGATTTTTGTTTTGCTTAAGGGAGATATTTATGCGTTGAACAATTATTATAAATTTATTTTTTTATAATTATTATAACATTATAATGATCGTTCTATAATTATTCGATAAATTTAATAATTATTTTATATTTTAAAAAAATTTAAATAGTCAAAATGATCATTTAAACATTATTGAACAATTTATAATATATTCTATTCAATTTTTAATACTAAGCATATATCAATATAAATCCAAAAACAATTTAAATATGATACAACTCAATTTTGATATCTATATCCTCAACGTTCTTATTACTATTCTGGCCAAGTTCACATTGGTAAATTGAAAGTATTCTTCCATGTTACCGAAGGTTGTTCTCTTGTCTCTAAATCGAATCCAAAACAGAGGCGGAGCATCTGTAGGCATGCGTTTATCTTGAAATCTGATTTTTTTTCGATTAGTTACTTATTTGACTGATTATACTTATTTTTTAATTATTTTGTGTCTACTCTAAAATCTAAATTTTCTTCCTTTAATTACGTATTTTAATTTAATGGCGACATCCACCTAAAATTTTATTTATATTTACTCCACTTAAATATTTTATATAATTAACTGTGATTATCCTCAAAATTATTTATGAATTTGATCCAAATACAACAAAAAAGAAGTTTGTTACGAATGGGAGGATTTGTTGGGTTTATTCTCCAAAATATCGTCCAAAAGGAGAGTGGCGAGTTCGTAATTTAGTAAGAAATGGAGCGGCAAAAGTTAAAGATTGTGTGTCCACGTCAGTGTAGTGACAAGCACGCATCAAAAGCCAAAGTGAAGTCAAAGGGCGGAAAAAAATCTGGCACCATAGAGCCACAAGCCCACCACGTCATCAGATGGGTGAAGATATTTGTGGTACCTCCCGGATGCGGCCGTAGCGTGGTTTGGAAACGAATCCATCAGCTGATCGCACAATTTAAGGTCCCTACGGTCAACTTATTAACCCGAATTAAATTATTTTAATAATACGATGATTTCTATAAAAGTATATTTATTATTACTTTTAAAGTTTAAGATTTGAATATAACGTATGATAAAAATATGTGTATTTATTATTAAATAATTAAAAAAAAATTACCAATAATCAGTTGGTTTAGTAGGATGAGTCACTAGGTTTCTTAAGTAAAGTTAGGGGTTTGAATCTTGATATTTGCGAATGGAATAAACTGGGTTGGGATAGTTGTCATCGCCTCTGCAGTACCTAATATAGATTAGTAGGTCAATAGATCAGATACCAGTGATTAATTTAAAAAAAACAAAAGATATTACTCTATATACATCTTATATTTATAAAAAAACAAAATTTATTTTTTTATTTTATCTAAAATTTGACATATTTTTTAAAAGAATAAACTACACAAATGATTACTGATATTTGAGTAAGTTTTTATTTTTCTCTAAAGTTTAAAAAGTAACAAATTAGTCACTAATATCATCTATTTATAACAACTCAATCAATCACTATGTTGTTATTGTAGTAATAATAGACAAAACTAGGGATAGGCACGGGGCATGTTGGGTTTTTGGCCACCCGACTCCGACTCAAAAATATATATTTAAAACCCTACCCCGCCCCTACCCTCGCCCCGAGGAATTTTGAGTTTTTCCCCGTCCCGAACCTGCTTAGATTTTTAGATTAAAATTCTGATCCCGACCCGATCCTAATAAATTAATATTTTAAAATAATTAAAATAATATATTTTATAATAATATATTTATAATTATATATTATATTTAAACTGTTAAATTAATATATTTTATAATATTTTTAATAATTAAATAATATATTTTAATAATATAAAAATAAAAATCTTAATATATATATATATATATAATAACCGGATTAGGTTGGGTCTGTGATTTTTCACCTTAAACCCAGCCCCGACTCGTTCCAAAAATTTTTACTACATATCCCGCCCTGAGTCTCGAAAATTCAAAAAAATTCACCCTTATAAGGTCGAATGGGGCCGGTACCTATTGAGTTTAGGTATTTTGATCATTCCTAATAACAATTGTTACTATAGTAATGAAATAATGGCTTGGTGCATTAAACCAATTTACTCAACATGTTTGATCGATCATTTAACTATCGCTCCTCCTCAGTCAAAACAACTTTTGATGGCGTTTTCGTATATTCATATGCAAAGGAATTTTATATATTCATTAATAAAATACGCAAAGCAATTAGACTTTGAGTTTGTCCTATCTCAGCATTCAACTGCTGACTCCGATCACTTCTAAATCTTGTGTGCTTCTTGTATTATGGTTTCTATTTGATAGGATAAATTTGTAGTCTGTTTAACAATGCTCCAAGTTTTGACTTCGTAAAATATTACCTAATGGTTCAAATGACTTTTCAAATATAAACTCATTTATAATTCAATAATTGAAATATAATGTGAAGTACGTAAATAAATTTTTGATTATAGGGTTTTATTTTATTAAGTAAAATACATAAATCATCTTTTAATTATAGGGTATTATTTTATTGAGTCATTCGACTATGAAAAGTTATAAAATAATCTCTTGCTTATGAACATTATTTTGTTGAGTCATCCTACTAATAAAAGTTACAAAATGGTCACCTGACTATTCTTATATTTTTAACTCTTTTCTTGTTAAAAATTTAGCAATTATCCGAGTTGGATGTTAATTTGTTGAATATGATATAATAAAATATGATTCTTGAACCGTTAAAATTGTATTTTGTGGATTGATTCTTCATTTACACTATGACGTCGAGCCAATGCATGTAATATTATGTCGTTGAGCCAATGCTTTAAAGTAATAGCGGAGTCAATAAGCATCATTAAGGTATGATTTTATTATATCTCAATCAACATGCTAACATCTAACTCAGAAGATCATTAATTTTTTAATGAGTAAACTATGCCGATAGTCCCCTTTGTTATCGGTCTAACCGACTTTGGTCACCAAAAAATTAAGGGGAAATGGTATCTTACGTTATCGGTTCGTCCGGTTTAAGTCTCTATGCTATTAATTTTGTTTAACCTCCTTTTATGTTAAGTCCCTTTTGTTGATAACCGACTTTGGTCACCAAAAAATTAAGGGGAAATGGTATCTTACGTTATCGGTTCGTCCGGTTTAAGTCTCTATGCTATTAATTTTGTTTAACCTCCTTTTATGTTAAGTCCCTTTTGTTGAAGTTACTAACATGGTTGAGGGACTAAAATTGAACAGATTGATAACGTTGGAGATTAAAATCGAACGGACCGATGACGTTAGTGACTATTTCCCCTTAATTTTTTCGGTGACCAAACCAGTCAGACCGAAAACATAAGAGACTATCGATGTAGTTTCGCTTTTTTTTAATAGATATGACGAGTTTGAAACATATGAAAAATTGATTATTTTTAACAATACCATATAATTGGACATTCTACAACTTTTACTAGTCGATGACTTAACAAAGCAACACCTTATAGTTGAGAGATCATTTTTGTATTTTACCCTAAAATATACATAAAAAGGTTAGCTTACATTTAAGATTTGATTATACAATATTAAATATAGTAATTAATTATTTAAACAATTTGTTTGCAATTTTCTAAGTACCACGGTCTAATATAAATTTACTAATAACAGAGTGACATGTTGTAATTTTCCCTTCAATTAAATTAATAACACCACGGAGCGGGACAGGAATCGTAATCACAAGAAGAAGCCCTATCCATTTACGAGTATCGTAACGAAGAAGAGAAAAGAAGCCACCGGTGCCGCTGCCGTCAAAATCACCGCCGTCATCTCATTTACTTATTTGATCTTTCACCGCCGCTGCCTGCGCCACTACAACGAGTGAGAATACATATCTCATTACCCTTGATATTTTGGGCTTCAGATCTTTATCTTATGATTATTCTAACTTTTAGAGATTTTAATTGATTTATTTTTTCCTCTAAAATTTCAATTTATCTTGAAGTTTCTTTTTTCTTATGAAAAGAATTTAAGGCGCGATCTATAATGTTTTATGCTACCAGCCAGCATCAATTAAGCATTTCCCCTTTCCTTTTCTTTTTCTTTCTGATAATTTATTGCTAATTATAAATTTGGCTAAGCATTTCATTTTGTTCAGAGCTCTGTGGAAGGATTTTGATGTGTGTGAAGAAACTATGGCAAGCAATTTAGGAAGAGGAACTCCTACTAATGGTTCCGTCTATGTTTGTAATTTACCTGAGGGAACCGATGAAACTATGCTAGCTGAATATTTTGGAACGATTGGCTTGCTAAAGGTATATATAAAATTTTGATGGAAACACAAAAGGTATGCAGCTATGTGTGTGTTATTTGTCGCTTATTGTTGTGTTTTTGCTGATTTTATAGAAAGATAAGCGAACTGGTCGACCTAAGGTATGGTTATACCGAGATAAGGTGACAAATGAGCCAAAAGGTGATGCTACGGTTACTTATGAGGATCCACATGCTGCATTGGCTGCTGTCGAATGGTTTAATGATAAGGATTTCCATGGGAGCACAATTGGTGTTTTTATGGCAGAGAGTAAGAGTGGTAATGCTGGTGTTTATCTTCCAAATGTTGCAGTAGATGGTAGTGTGTCGGAGGACACTGCAGCTAAGGACATGGATGGGGGGGGTGGTAGGGTTGATGCATCAGGAAAGATGTGGCAACAGGAGGGAGACTGGCTCTGTCCGAATACAAGGTCTGTGATGTGATATTGGTGAGCAGCTTCTTCTTGCTCTTTTATAACGTTTTTTCCATTTGTCTTGAACTCTGATTGTTCTGTTCATACTTCAATATGATTTTTCTGTTTGCAGTTGTTCCAATGTCAATTTTTCATTCCGTGGTGTGTGCAACCGATGTGGAACTGCTCGACCTACAGGTGCCTCTGGTGGTGGTGGAGGGGCTGCTGGTCGTGGGAGGGACCATGGTGCCCCTGACTCTGGAGGTCATGGCCGAGCAGTAGCTGCTACTAGTGGACTTTTTGGTCCAAATGACTGGCCCTGCCCTATGTATGACCTCTAATGCTTCAATGAAACACTTTCTTCTTTTCTGGTCCTTGTGTGATCATAGAGAAGTCAGGATTTTTTTTTGTTTTCATGTTTCTGTTTATTTGGTACAAAGGGGAGCACTACTGTTTGAACCTATGATCTCTACACTAACATGCTCACTCTCTTTCCACTTAAGCTAAACCAAATTGGCGTCTTTAATATTTTGGTGGACTGCAAATTGGTTAGGAACCACTGATGGTCGTTTTTGTTGGCTTAAAACATTTTTAACACTTCAACTCTGCTAATGTTAAGATATTTGGGTATGTATATATAAATGTGATGCCTTGTTTTTTGCAATGTTATTTATATCAGTTCTTTGAAATTCTGTTTAACAGGTGTGGTAACATCAACTGGGCTAAGCGTATGAAATGCAATATTTGCAACACTAATAAACCTGGTCACAATGAGGGCGGTGTAAGGTATATGATAAGTATTTGATATATTCTAATCCTAGATCCAAATTAAAATCTTGTGGATATTTTCATTGAAAATTTGATCTTTCATCTTTGTATTATCGATTTACTTTTCTAAGAAGTTTTTGTGCAGCCCAATCATTTGCTTCAGTTCATTCTTATTATGAGTATGCTTGAGGTGATTTTAACCTTTGATTCATGTATGAAGGAATCATTTTCCTTTAATATTACAAGTGTTGCATTTTTTTCTATGATTTACTTTTTGGTTTTGGATGGGCGTTGCTATATTTTTCTTCCATTTCTTTCTTTCTTTCCAAATATCATTTCACTTTGGTATCCTTTGTTTTCCTCTGAGTTTTAGAGAAAGTTGATAACCATGTTTCATTGTGGGTATATTGTTGCCAGTATTATTTCCAATCAGGCATGACATACCCTTTTTCAGTAACCATCTCTTTCAATTAATGTGAAGTTACTAAAACGAGGCCTTTACTCTCTTTCAGATGCATTTACCTTTGCTTACAGACCCCTTTTCTCAAAAGAAACTTGTACTACATTCCCTTTACTGGAAGGAGGTGGAAAATAAAAGAAAATTCCATTACACAAAATAATTCTTGTATTTTTTTTTGTACTTCATCTCTTTCATGGTGAACAGATTTTATTCATGGTCAGAAGACACACAATGGCCTCTAATTGTTAGAATTTGTAGTACAACTGACATCGACATTTCTAAAGTTTGTTCCATCATCTTCCTCTTAGCTACCCATTTCTGTTATCTGAACTTGTTAGAATCGGTAGTGCAAGAAACCATCTATGATCATGATGTAGAGCAAGAAGATTCCTAAATTTAATTGCTTAATCAGTCACTTCATTGGAGGGCTAACTAAAAAGGAAAACAGTTGATTAATTTCCTCTTATTATCTGAATTGCATCCATTCCTCAACACAGTGCTCCTTTTTAACAGTTTTACCTGATTCTTTACTGATGTTCTGGTGTAAGTGCCGTTACTGCATAGGCATTCTTATTGTGTGGTTTCACAGTATTCTTCTGTTTTTTAATTTTATCTTTAAAGCCATTGGTTTCATTTCCTCTTCTGTTTTCTTTTCTATTTTGAATCACTCCATCCAATTGATTCGACTCATTTAATATGCTTTTCATAGGAGGAGCGAAATGCAAATAAGTTGTTTATATCATGTCATTTTACTACAGTTTTACTGTGCCTTTGCACCTTTTGTCCTTCAATTTTTACTGCTATGTGCAAGCTTCTTACATTTTCTTTATACCTGTTCTTATCAGAGGAGGACGTGCTGGTGGTTACAAAGAACTTGATGAAGAAGAGATAGAGGAAACAAGGCGACGTCGACGTGAGGCAGAAGAAGTAAAATATATCTCCATTATCATTACTTGAAACTTACTTTGTTTAGTATCTTAATTTGATGGCAATTACGTGTTAATCTCAGGATGATGGTGAGATGTATGATGAATTTGGCAATCTCAAGAAAAAGTTCCGAGCAAAAACACAACAAGCTGAAGCTGTTCAAGTGCTACCAGGTTCTGGTCGTGCTGGTTGGGAAGTTGAGGAACTAGGTATTGAGTTCATTATGGTAACAACTACCTAATATGGGGATGCGTTGTTTTAAGATACTGATTGTCGTAATTGTCAAGTTTATTTAATTAACTGAACAAGCTTAAAAAAGGAACAGGGTTTTCACTCGGGTAAAGATTAAAAAAGACTAACAGCTACCATTTGGTGACCCTCTCAAAATGGGCATACATACATACATACATATATATATATATATATATATATATAGGTAACAAGGTATTTCCTTGTATATTCTGCAGTGTATTGATGTTTTGGAGTATCATTATGTTCTAATAAAAGTGGGTACCCCCGCAGGTGTGGCTGACAGGGATGGAAGAGAGAGAAGCAGAGACAGAGGAAGGGAAAGGGACGATAGAGAAGGTGGTAAGAACAGAGACCGTGAAGATAGGGAAAGGCGCCGTAGTCGGAGCAGAGAGAGAGATAGGGGGAAGGATCGAAGCCGTGATTATGATTATGATAGAGGTAGAGATTATGGACGGGATAGGGACCGGGATCGAGACCGAAGCAGCAGGTACTACTAAGAAAGGAAGAATCTGTTTTGTTAAAGTGCTTAATGTAGCCTCTTTGGGCTGGAATATGGCAGTTGATTGGAACTCTTTGAGTCGATGGATAGCCAAGACTACTCTCTAGAATTCGATGTATTTTTGGGTTTTGCATGATGGAGTTCTATACAGCACAGTTTTGCTGGCATATGAGTTTAGATTTTCATATTTAACAGTTCTTAACTTGATTTTTTTCTCCTTGCAATTGAAACCAATGCTATTCCTGTGCTTGCTTGCTTTTCTCTCAGCTTTTTAACATTCTCGAAACTCGGGAATTCATTTACATTGTTATTTTTTTAGGCTTAACATAAATGCTCAAACTATGATTCAAAAAATGTGTGTATAAAGAATTTTTTGTTAAAAACATGCACTTAACGTTTTTTCAGTTATATTTTTAGGTGTCTATTGTTTTTTTTAATTTTATAATAATAAAATATTATTTTTAGTTAGAAATTAAAAGAAAAAAGGTTTAATTTATTTAAAAAAAATCAATTTTTTACTAAAATATAAAAAACCCTAAAAAATTAAAACATCTCATTTCAATCACATTATCAATCGTCGTTGCCCATCTCTGGCCACCATTGTCATCATCAAACGGTAACTCACCCGTCGTCAACCAACCTATTGATCAATTGTCGCTCTTATCTTTACCCAAAATCATTAAATTTAAAATCTCCAATATTCGAATCCCTAATTCTCAATTTTAATTACCTAACCCAAATGGTCTCCGACCATCGTCATCGTCGTCGAACGGTTGGATTTTGATTGGAATTGCACGCTAGTTCAAATGGCGGAGGTGGTGTAACTTATGAATGTCAAAATTGGTCGGAATCGATGAAGAACGACGACGATGGCTTAAAAACTGACTAACCTTTGAACGCTTTTCTACGGCAAAAGATGGCATGTTATGACAAAAAGGTCAACGGGGGTTTGATTGAGGGTCAACGTCGGTAATGATGATAGTAGCGATGATGGTCACCGTTGGCTAACCGACATAGAAGGGGAAAAAGGAAGGGAGAAAGGGGGAGGGGAGAAGGTAGGGGCTACTATTTTTTAATAAAAAATATTTTATTTTTTTAAATAATTTTCAAAATTACCATAATATGACACGTGTCACTTAACGGAGATATTTAACGGCAGTTAACGTCCGGACACCTAAAAATATAACGTTTGAAATATTATGCACCTATTTTTAGCGAAAAATTCTTTAAACACTAAAACGTTTATCGAGTATAGTTTGGTCACTTATTTTTGTATTAATCCTTTTTATAATAACTATTGATATTCCATATATTTGTCAATAATTTGGATAGAGTATTATAGAGGCTAATTCTTTTATCTATAATTTCATATTCAAACACTTCATCTCACCTAAAAGACTGACCAAGTTATATTATTATTAATTAGAGTTTATTTTTATTTTTATTTTTAAAAAGGAAGTTAATGTAAATTTTGGGTTTGGATCTTTTGGAAGCTAATAATGATCCATAAATTTTGGGGGGGGGGGGAATCCACATAACTGAGCACCCCATTACTGAATCAAATTGTTAATGGGTTGATTTGTTAACTTTCCCCTTTTTTCAACTTCATTTTTTTATATTGCTTAAACTCTAAAAAAAAATATTTAATAAATATTTTCATCATCAATCGAAAATAAAAGCTCAAATGCCACAAATTTCATCAAAATACAAAGCACGGGAATTTTTTTAAAGTTAAATAAAAGAGGATTATTGCATTATATTTAAACAATAAAACTATAAAAATTGAAAATAAGAAACATAATATGAGAGAAGATAAACGTTCTATCACTTGTTTCTAATATGATATGCTTATACTTAAACTATTGATGTAACTACTTTAAGTACCTTAACAATTTTTTGATCAAAATAAGTCCCTAAACCATACCCCTTTTTTACTTTATGCCCCTAAAATATATTTTTAGATCAAAATAAGTACCTAATTTTGTATGATGTATCAACATCTTATTGGTCGAAAAATAATTTTCTAACTAAAATAAATTAGGACTTAAAAAATTAAATATAATAGTTTAAGTAGAGCAAATAATAGTTTAAGTACCTAAAACCAAAAAAGGAGCATAGTTTATGTACTTATTTTTACTTTAAGCCTTAAAATAATTTAGGGTAAACTACGTATTTAATACTAAAACTATCAATTTTTATTTTTTTTAGAGAAAATAACCTCAGTGACCAAAAATGTCTTATAATATACGATTTTGACCAACTTTTTTTGGATTTGCCAAAATGACCAACTAAATCGCAATGCGATCGATAATTCGCAACGCGATCTCCGGTATCGCAAATCAATTTCCAGATTCGCAACGCGATTTTGACTATCGCAGTGCGATTTCCCAAATTCGCGTTGCGATTTCCCAAATTCGCGTTGCGATTTTCCTAATTCGCAATGCGAATACGTAAATCGCAACGCGAATTTGGAAAATCGCAATGCGATTACGTAAATCGCAATGCGAATACGTAAACCGCAATGCGAATCTGACTATCGCAATGCGATTTACATAGCGCCATTCGTATTAACACGTATTTTTTTTTCAAATTCCAAACATGAATATATTAATATATCGGAACACTGAACCGTCCACAGTATATCCCGTAATCACAACTCATAACCTAAAACCCTAAATCACAACTCAGTCTCATCTCCATCTCTCACTCTCTAAGGTGACATCCGTCCCGATCTCCGACGAAATCAGTCCCCACGACGATAACAATCTCCATCTCCGGTGAAATCATTCACGGTTAAAAATGGAAAATCAACCAAATCAACCACTGAGGGTTAGTTTTTTTAATTATTTTTATTTTGAAATTTTTACATTATTATTAGGTTTTTCATATTGAAATTGATGATAAGTTTACTGGTTTTCAATAATAAATTAACCATTTCACTTAGATTGCTTATTATATTCATTCGATTGCTGCCAATACTGCTAAACTGTTTAGTCTTTAACCCTGTGAAGTTAGTATTTGTCTTTGTTTTGTCTTTTGGTTGAAGTAATGCAATCCATTCAAGTTTCTTTCAATTTTAGTATTTGAAACCAAGAATGACTATCGCAACGAGTGAATCGCAACGCGAAAATGACTATCGTAATGCGAATTTGACTATCACAACGAGAGAATCGCAATGAGATTTTCATTTCGCGTTGCGATAGTCATTTTCGTGTTGCGATTTTCATTTTCGTGTTGCGATTTAAAGTTTCAGAAACTATTCTTCAGCTGCAAATTGAAACTTGAATGAATTGCATTACTTCAACCAAAAAACAAATACTAAATTCACAGTGTTGCAAATTTAAGTTTGAAGAATAAACTACTACTCTTTATTGTTCATATCTTCACAGTGTAGTTTTTGGTATATCTAAATTGGTATGTTTATTGTTTTTGCAGAAATTTTATTCGGCTCAATTGACCTTAAGAAATAAAGTAAGCCTGGCCAAAACAATTGCGTCGAAGCTTTCACCTACACAAAGAAAAATATTTGAGGATACTTGCCTCGGGCCATGGCTGAAAGTACAACATCTGGGTGGAGATGCTATATTGACCCATCTGTTTCTTCAAACCATGACTAGCGATCTACCAGAGACTATACAACGTCGTGATGAAGAGATATGGTTTGATTTTCCACCGGCGTATACGTGTTTTGGGCGGGAGGAGTTTTGCTTAATCACCGGTCTACGCTTCGGACACGATGATGTAGATCGGTACACTAGACATATTACCCGCCTATCATGGTTTTCCCAGGTTTTTCCTGAGCAGTCAACGGAGAAGTCGAATTTACACGTGGAAGACTTGACGAGATTATTGAATAAGAAAGATTGTTTTACTCGGATGGATGACGTCGATGTTGTCCGAGTATGCCTTCTAATACTTTTGCAAGCCGGCTTTTTAGGCAGAGAGGCCCGACAACCTATTCCTAATGATCTAATTAAATTGGTAGAGGACCTAAATGCATGGAACATGTTTCCGTGAGATTCGTATCTATGGAGAGCTACATGGAATAAGTTGTCGTCTGCCTTTAATGATCAGAAAAGTTTGCGTGGCGAAGGTTCCAAATACACTTTATCAGGCTTTATTTGGGCCTTTAAGGTAATAATTTTTATATAATGTTTCCAAAATTATAATTAATTCTTTAAAAATTACTAATGTTTGTTATTATATTGTTTGTAGATTTGGATATTTGAGGCCTTTCCAGCCATGCAGACATATGCATTAAAAACTTCTAATGATATTCCTAGGGTTATTTCCTGGAAGAGGAAACGGTCATTGCAGCAATGGGAAGATTTACTACTGTATACTACAATAAATAATGGAAGTTAACACAAATACTACCATATGTTTATAAACAAGTTATTACTAGTACACGTTTAACTTTATTTGAGCTTTTATATTATTAGGAGGCCAACACTCCATTACAGAGGTTGACACCCACGGAAGCTAAGCTTGCCACTGATTGGTGGCAAGCTAGTAAGCTTTTTTTTGATGGCACAGATGATGAGTAGCTAGCCAGCCACCACTTCGAGAGCCATCACCTTACCCAGAGCCATCACCTGATCGACCCGAATATACACCTCCACAACGAGAGTCATCACCTATTCTGTCACATCATCGAGCCTCTTCTCCACCATCACCTCATGATAGGCGACCGATAAAGATGCCACGACGTTTATCTCCCTGTTCTCCATCTCCATCTCCACCTCCATGGGATGAGTTAGGGGAGTTACGTAATGAGGTCAATGCCTTGCGTGAGGAGGTCGGTACTTTACGCGATGACAATGGTGCATGGCGTGTTGAGGTGTCTACTTTACGTGGTGAGGTAGCAGCTCTACGTGAGATTGTAGCATCGTTGCAGAATGAAGTTCATACTCTACGCAACGAGGTAAGTTTAATATTTTTCATATTTAACTTGATGATAAATTTACTCGTAATTTCACTTAGATTGCTTAGTAAATTCATTCGGTTGTTGCCAATACTGTTTAACTGTTTATTCTTTAACCCTGTGAAGTTAGTATTTTGTTTTTGGTTGTCTTTTGGTTGAAGTAATGCAATCCAGAAAATGACTATCGCAATGCGAATTTGACTATCGCAACGAAAGAATCGCAATGCGAAATGAAATCGCATTGCGATTCTCGTTGCGATAGTCAAATTCGCATTGCGATAGTCATTTTCGCGTTGCGGTTTTGTTGTTGCGATTTTCATTTCGCATTGCGATTC